TTTAAGTAGGAAAACAGGGAGAAGGATTGAATTAGACATATGAAATTTTGGAAACTTATTAGCAATGATTCAATATTACATAAAGTGTTAATCATATAACTAATTGTGAGATATTATTCGATATCGTTTAAAAATAAAATAGACAAATATAGACGAAAATACCGGAAGGAATCCGATCTTCTAGTAAAAGCCGGAATCTGGTATTGGTAGGGTACTCGGAATCTTATTGGAAATTGACTCGATAATCGATGCTCCATTAAAGGCAGCAGATCGTACGCTAGGAAAACGTGTTCTCGCGTTCGTTCCTACATCCGGTGCATAAATTAATAGATCGATATGTTTCCTCACGTTCGATATATTCAATTATTCTAATATTGATTTCAATGACACTAGGAAAACGATATTCACCATATTTGCTAAGGCTTACACGAAATGTGATCTTCCAATTTCAGTACTTATAAAACAAAAAATGAAATAAATCACATTTCAAACTCTAATATTTCAGATCAAAATAGACAAATAAAAAGCAGAAAGCAGAATAGGTATAAATCGTGTATCCTTTAGCAGAATGAAACTTGATGGTTAATAATTTAGTCGCATAGCATGCAGAACATAATAATGTCGGTTCGCTAGCGAGGAATTAATTTTACGAGTAGTATCGCATGCAGGTAGAGATGCACAGCCGCACCTGTAAGCGACAGCCATTGTATTTTCAATTCACTAGACTAACGAATCTGACCGTTCCAGCCTTGTGCGTCCTGCGGAACACTCGCGTGAAATTCTATCCGAGAAAATGGGATTTTATACTGATAATTTATTCGACGATCGTGCTCCCTATCAAAGCACAATCGTCCTATCTTGTTCTCTCTCTCTCTCTCTCTCTCTCTCTCTCTCTTTGATTCTTGTATCCTTTACATTCGCCGTATAACGCGTTTATCGATTTTCTTCCAGGTTCTCATCCGATTCGTGATCCAATTTGTTACTTTGTACCGATTAAAGGGACTTCCATCGAACAAATAACAATTCTCGATATAAGTAGAGGAAAAGGTAGGAATATGAAACAAGGTTATAGTAGTGGTATAAATCCCTTACATAATTTTGATAGGTTCGTCACTTTTAACGTAAGTCACTCTAAAAGATATTCGAAGGAACGTAGTTATGCGTTCCGAACTGTACCCATCGGTTGGTATGTACGCAAAAGATAGTGTGCATAGCGGGAAGGTAAGAGAGATAGAATGGGGGAAGAGTGGGGGAAGAGAGTGGGACGATAGGGACTCTTGGAATGGAATGCGATATTCATCGATCGACCGCCATGTGTGAAATAACTCAAATGACACACGCGACTAGCTGCGCATATACGAGATCGGGTATACGTTGACGTTCTCGTTTGCTGTCATTCGTCAGAATAATCTTTCTTTCTTTATCTCTCTCTTTCTTTAACTCTGAATATACCGTACAAAAATGATAGGAAAATACGAGAAAGAAATATAAGAAAATCGTTATGGAAAAGGACAGAAATAGTAGGAACGTTTCCACGCAGTTGCAACTCGAGCGTAGATTTGTATTCGGAGACACCGATCATGTCATTGACGAATACGTCGTTTTCATGAATACCATATGAGGCCTGGCATCGTATATATGTCTCAGGAATAGCGGGATATTCTATCCAGTGACACGATCGAGAAGTCTAACGTCGTTTTCTCTTTCCTGTCTAAGTTAGCCTTTAAAATGGATATATAAGAAACGTCACTTTTTGACTTTCCAATCGTCGTATTCTAGAATATGATGATACAATTTTACGTCTTTTTTATAAGATAGTCTATGCATATTTATGCTACATGTTATAGTAACCATTTGCAGAAATACTATTACTTTGCTTAATGGAACTATGGTAGTTATGTAACAAATAATAACAATTAATTCTTATAGATCAAATGAAGTGTGATTTATCCAAAAATTTAAAATATACCAAAGAAGAATTCTAAAATAAAAAAATAATTCTCTTCCGATATTGGTTCAGAGAATAGAAGAAAGAAAGAGAGAGAGAGGGAGAAAAAGACAAATTCAGAAAAACATTAGAATATCCAATTATTTTGTACACACAATTGCATTCAAATAAAAGTTCGACAAGTAACCATCTGCCGATGCTGTTCCCAAAACAATGTAGCACATATTTTCGACTAACAGGCAATGCTAACAATCAGACACCTGTTTGAATAATATCATTTAAAAAAAGAAAAAAAGAAAAGAACATAACATAGATCGAGAAGAATACAAAAGAACGTCTATTTAACTAGCGATCATCCATCAGAAGAGCACCTGAACAAGCCGAACCAACCCAAACCAACTATCTTCCTAAAAGAATATCGAAAAATTGTACGAGTTAAGAAAGCACACGTAGTTTTCCGTGAATAATAATTCACATATGACACGTAATCATGGATCTACGATTGCGATAAAGTTCCACGTTAAAAGGATCTCAAAAGGACTAAGTGGGAAAGCTAAAAGCGTTCCCAATTCACATTGAGTTAGGGTGTGAATTCTTCAGATCTCGTAAGATCGGTGACACTACGTACGGCGTTCATTCCTAATGACGAGAGACATTGAGATAGAGATAGATTCAGATAGAAAGATGAAAAGAGAAAGAGAGAGAGAGAAATTGGAAAGATTCAGCGAAGCAGTTGCTGAAACAGAGCCAGATTGGATGGGGGAAAACAGGATCCTAGGCGACTGGTTTTCGGTCGTCTGCCAGAGCTTTTCGAATTCGTTTGTCTTTCTCTCTCTATCTACATCGCACCTTCCCCTTTTCTCTTCCCTCTCCTTCCCACTCTCTCTCTCTCTCTCTCTTTCTATCTACCTATCTATCTATCTATCTGTGTCTCTTTCTCTGTATTTTGCATACTCCAAAGCATGTACAACCCCCCGTTTCATCCCTTTCGTCGCTTCTGTCCGCCTCCTCGCGAAACAATAAATTTTCTGGCTTTAAATCCATGCTGTAGCACGACCACGACTACGACCACGACTACGACCACGACTACGACCACGACCACGACCACGACTACGACCACGACCGCCAAGAGCTTTCACAGTACATCGAGTGCATATACCTAGTAAGGTTCGCGGCATACCTACGTTCGTACTAGACTTTCTACGTTCCTATTTACTAAGCTCTGACGACATATTTATGAAAGTTGGTTATTCAATTTTATCCTGATATTTAATAGTTTTTCTCCTTTTCAGATTTACGTTTACATAATTTGTGCATGATAGTTTTAAGGATAAATATTAATTGACAGATCTGAAAAATTGATGAAAATAAGAACATATGTTTTTTCTTGTTTATCGTAATTCTTTCATTATCTTAAAATTTGTATATAACAAATATTCGATCAATACTACAATTATACAAACAAATAAATAAGATCACACTGCATAAATGTTGAGAAGAACTGGTCTATTTTATGAACATGTAAAATTACATTAAAATTAGAGTTGTTCAGTTTGGTAATGTACGTTGTCAGTAGGAACAACGCATTCCTGAAATCCTCGTAGTTGCTTTGATCGGTACAATCGGTATTCTACCCTTTCTCTGAATTTATAGTCAAGATAGCACGTCTTCCACGGGCGACAATAGCCAAAGTATGTCTTTACTGTTATTGGTGAACCATTTAGGGGCGGATCTTACGTGAACGTACGTGTACATGGTTCCCGTGTCGTTGACACTGAACACGTTCTCGAATTAGCTTGGTTAAAGCTCGACCAGATCGATCGAGGCTACCTTCTAGGTCCTACATGTGGTTCCTTCGATCGAAGGAATATAAACAATGAACATTAGGAGTTCTGCAATAGCTCCAAAACATTCTTACTTCTTACCAAGTATTGTAGTCCTCGATTTTCTTTTGAAAAAGCCCATCGAAGGAATTCATTGTATCAATTATATCTTAATCTTAATCTTTCGATTATATTATTTGGAAATCATTTGTTAGAAGAATCGGTTAGTATATAGAAAAATTATTTACATTAGAAAATATTTTTTAATTACCTGAGATTATTATTGACAATTGAATTACAATTGAAATTGACGACAATTCTCCTGCGTGATGCGAATATTCATATCCAGTTTATACGTCTTCAATATACTTGCGTTATACAACTGCAAGCGACTACGTTAGGACGTCGTTAAGTTGACAATATTATCGCATACGAATGTATTATGGAATGAATCATTACCTTTCTCAAATTCGCTTGAAATAAATAACATGTTGAAAATTATTATTTCCTGATTTATTTCTCATTTATTTTTTTTTTATCATTAAGTAAAAGTGTATTTTCGCTAAACTATATATTTATTATTACAAAACTAACTAGTTAAATAGTTCATCATTTCAAATAAAAAAACGATTTTATTCGATTGAATTCTTGCACAGCAATCAATGTTATCAACTAACTGTTAATATTTTCAAGATTAAAATAGATAGCTTCTATATCTAGAAATTTGATATCTTTATGTGTGAGAGAAATTTSTWYRAWTAAWWMA